AGAGCTAGAGCACGTAGAGAAAAAGTGAATCTGTTTAATCTACCACGATCGTCAGATGATAATTTAAAAACAGAGCTAGAGCACGTAGAGAAAAAGTGAATCTGTTTAATCTACCACGATCGTCAGATGATAATTTAAAAACAGAGCTAGAGCACGTAGAGAAAAAGTGAATCTGTTTAATCTACCACGATCATCAGATGATAATTTAAAAACAGAGCTAGAACACGTAGAGAAAAAAGTGAATCTGTTTAATCTACCACGATCGTCAGATGATTTCTTAGCTAAGTAATGTTGTAAAATTGGTACTTTTATATAAAATCACTTCATTAACAATAAGCTCGATCTGGACTTGTTATTGTTATGTCAAGCAATACGTTACCATAATGAACGAAAAAAATTATTTATATCTAATTATGCTCAAACACTGTCTTCGTAGGGCGTGGTCTAAAGCTAGCGTGCCCGGACTGTGAATCCGAGGATTCAAGATTCGCGGCCCGTTACTGAAAAATGCATTTTGTACAATGAGAGTGCTATAAAAGTGACAATTAGATCCCACTATTCCATCAAACAATATCAGCCAAGAGTTGGCGGTGGGTGCTGTTGAGTAGCTGCATTTCCTTTCATTTGGCATTTAAAAATTCAGGACAGTTATGGGCATTATGGGCAGATATTCCTTCGTGTAGGCTTGAACACAAATTTGAAACAAACACATCCAACATTCTGGTAACTTTAACAGTAACAGTTCTGAATTAGTAAGGCTAGAAATATAACTCCTCCCATAAATTTAATCAAAGTCCCCCCCCCCGGCGGGGCAGTGGTAAGTTCACAGATTTACAACTCTAAAATCCAAGGTTGGATTTCCCCTCGATAAACAGAGCTCGTTATGTAGTAGTAGTAGTTTTACATATACTTGGGATCAACAAATGCCAAATTTCAAAAAGGCTATTCGATTAAGTTATGATAGTGGCATAAAAACCACTGCGTTTTAGGTTTAACTAGACATATCTTTTTAGTTAATATAGTGAATGTATTTTCTCGCAACCATTATTTGCCCATCCTACTGCTTTAAAAGAAGTATAAAGTTCGTAGTTAGTATAACAGTTATATTAACAAAAACATTCATGCTGGTGTAATTCGGTTTACTTAGCCTTATTTCAAGTTTTTTATTAAGAAATATATTTTTTTTAAGATTAGAAATTGGTGGGTAGTCAGGAACTGAAAGTTATCAGGACGTAAGACAAGTATAGATAGCGAAAACATATATTTTTTTGTATACTTAAGCAGATGCTACGTTTAAAACGCCTTTTCAATGAATATTTTTGCACCATTATGACAAATATTTCATTTTTCTGTTGGCTGAAAATAAGCTATTTTTTAGCACAAACAAAGGAACGTTTCAGGGCAGAAACAGTTCCATGTGACTGGTCATTTCTAAGAATGTTCGGAGGTGTTCCCCAAATCGGCCACTATTCATCGGTGAGATACATTTTTTATTGTTATTCACAATCCTAGGTGGATGATATGTGGAACCTACAGTAATATCCTTACATGGAACTGGTGAGGTTCTCCTATTACCTGTCCTCACATTGTAAACTAACGTTGCCAAAACCTATTCAGATTCATAGAATCGAAAACGTTAGAAAAAGGATACCGTCCGATGAATAAACTTTCGCGCCCTAGCGGTCGTATTTCTGCAACTGAAAGGAGGTAAAAACCTCAAAAGGCGGGTTCTCCGTTTACTTGCCATTGTTTCCCGCGCTTTGTCCATGGGCCACGTCTACCCAAAGCTGTCAAATTGTCACAGACAAACGCGAACCATTTTTACCTCCATTCATATGTACCCCTCGTTTTATGGCAAGTCCGTCCATCAACAGTGAATTTTTGTCTTCTTTTTGACGAATATTCGTTTTTTTTTATCAGTGTTGTCGCTATTGAGGGAACGCTTTCATGTAAGAGTACATGTCTATGTGCCACATTGCATTCATAGCTAACTCACAATGATCAACGCCTTGATGAATACACGTTTGTATAGTAGAGCTGAATTTTAAGATTTGATACAATGATCAGTTACGCTGTTAAAAGACCTTGAAGCAAAGGAAACCAGATGTTCTGTACGTTTTTTTTAATCTCAGTAGCTCCTTTCAGTATTTCTTCTTCTTAACAGAAGTCACTAATAAATGTGTATTGACAAAGACTTCTGACATATTCTGTGTTAATTTTCTTTATAAGAGTGTTATTTGCATTGCAAATGCTAATAGATGGACATATGGACTATTTATAAGATACTCCACGTATTTACGTGAATTCTCCTAAGACACAAATTAATGGAAAGTGTATTTGTATAATGACACATGTAATGAGTGGGAATTCTTTTTACGTATGTAAGGAACAGCAAAATCGAAATGCAACATTTTAGAAGACAGATACTGAAAACGAATTTTTGTGGTTTAGGAACAGTAAACGTGTGAAAAGTGTTTTGTGGTTTAGGAACAGTAAACGTGTGAAAAAAGTTTTGTGGTTTAGGAACAGTAAACGTGTGAAAAGTGTTTCTTGATTTAAAAACAGTAAACGTATGAAAGTGTTTCTTGATTTAAGAACACTAAACGTATGAAAGTGTTTTTGATTTAGGAACAGTAAACGTGTGAAAAGTGTTTTGTGGTTTAGGAACAGTAAACGCGTGAAAGGTGTTTTGTGGTTTAGGAACAGTAAACGTGTGAAAGTAGTTTTGTTATCTGTGGTCTGACTAACAACGTTTTATTTGAATGACTTCGATCTATTACTTGTTATCTGTGGTCTGACTAACAACATTTTGTTTGAATGACTTCGATCTATTACTTGTTATCTGTGGTCGGACTAACAACGTTTTGTTTGAATGACTTCGATTTATTACTTGTTATCTGTGGTCTGACTAACAACGTTTTGTTTGAATGACTTCAACTTATTACTTGTTATCTGTGGTCTGACTAACAACGTTTTGCTTGAATGACTTCGACTTATTATTTGTTATCTGTGGTCTGGCTAACAACGTTTTGTTTCAACGAGTTTAACTTATTGCTTGTTATCTGTGGT